CGCCGAGTGTCCGAGCGGATAAGCTTTCGAGAGCGCGGCAAGAAAAATCGGCGAGAGGCGCGGGTGGCAGAGGGAAAGAAACCGAGAGGGACGAGGGGGGAGGGCGGGTAATTAGAATAATTCGGGCCGCTGTGGTTCACGCCATCCGGACGAATTTGCATTTTAAATGAAGCGATGGCGTGCCAAGGGCCCCACCGTGCAGCCGGAGAGAAGAGGAGAGAAAAGGAGCGAGAGAGCGAACGAGAGCGGTAGAACTTTGTGCTTTATAAGGAACTTTAATATTTATCGCTTATATCCCGGCCGAATAAGTATATGTATATATCCACCCTCTCTTTCCTTCCTCGCGACCACCGCCGCAGTCACGGGGTTCGCTCATGCTTAAGCTTATGCACAGCCCCCGCGACTTCCTTCTCGGTTCTCTTCCGTCTCACGGCCCCCTCGCGATCCCCCACCGTGCTATCAGATAATTATCGCGTAATTAGCACCGCTGATTTTCGTGTCGCGTCATCGCACACGCACGCGTACACAACGATGATTTCAGCTTTAATTTGTTCCGCGGTGATGATATTCTATGAGGATTCCGTCGGCGATTCCGTTGAGCGATAAGACCGGATTCTTTTTTTTTTTTTTAATATAAGGACCATAGCAAAAAGGCTGATTTATAATTTTAGGACAGTGTCTTAGGATTTAAGTCTTATATCTTTAGTAACGCATAGGAACTGTCTTATATAACTTTTGTTTTAAAGGCACTTGGTATTTATACACCTTTAAGTCATAAGTCATAAGATAATGCGTTACTAAAGACATAAGACTTAAATCATTAGGCACTGTCTTAAGATTATAAGTCACCCGAGTTGAAATTTTGCTTCTACTTTGAACCTTAGTTTTAGGACGTATGTAAACTCTAAAGATGTATAATTAGGACGTATGTAGGCTCTAGAGATTTATAATAGGTTCTAATCTAATAAATTGAGCTCTTATATTGAGCTTGTAAATGGCAGTTATCGGAAAATTTCCTACTTTTAGGTTCAAAAAAAGTTTGTAAATGTTAGGTGTTAAACTTAATTCCTGCCGTTTTTCGTCTCCAAAATTGATTTGCTTCGAAGGGAAGATGAATGAATACCTTAATCAAAGTATTATTGATAAAGTATTATTAATTAATAATAGTTTCCCTTCGAAACAAATCAATTTTGAAGACGAAAAACGGCAGGAATTAAGTTTAATACCTAATAGAAGCTGTTGATTAAGTAATATTAAAAGAGGTCCTATTTGATTGT